AAAGAGTAACTCAGAAACAGGAGCTGATTGCTGAGTTCCAAAGTAGCTACAAAACCAAGCTCTCAACTCGTTATTCTTATGATTTTAGGCAAAGTATGTTTAAAAACTAATGTTACATGCAGTTAAAAATTAGATTTAATAATTACAATTATTGAATAGGTAGTTAATCGCAATAAATGCCAGAATTCACAGCAAAATCAATGGTTGTAATTATGAAGTCTAGTTTTTAAGGGAAAATGCTATATAATCTAAATGAAACCCAAAATTTAAAACTAAAATGCATATCATCTCTTGGATTAGTGTGTGATAAGTGGGTTTTACAGAAAAAATTAATGGAACCTACTCATTTAAGGGATGATATGCCACTGAGATGTAACTTTTTGAGTTTCATTTAAATTTTGTAACATTACTCATTTTTAAGTTCATGTAACATTGCTCATGTTCAAAATATGCATGTCATTCTTTGTGTGTTGATCAAAAATAAAAATAAAAAAGTAGAGAGAGAAAAAAAATTATTAGTTTTGTAACCAATGCATTTAAATAAAGAGATAGGATAATACTATAGTGCCAAAAAAAATCCTATACCATGCCCAAAAATCATTTGTAGTTGATAATTATTTTGTAGCCATTAATATAAGTTAATAAAATAAAAAAATTTAGTGTCACATTTTTGTTGCATAAGACATGAATTTTTTTTCTGATAAAAAAAAAAAACTCATGTCGGTGGCAAGTATAATGTGCAAAGGCTTCGCCTACTATTTTATTTCCTCAATTATTGCTTCCCTCAATTGATGGAGCATCAAGGTACCTAATAATATGTCTACCAGCGTCTTTGTATGCTGACAAAGTTGTATTACGGCTCCACCGCCCTCCGGGCCTGCACGTTCTTATGACAAGTAGTCCAACGAGCTTCAGAATTTTGGCATGCCGACAAGCCTTACGAAGCTTAAGACGTGTGAATGAAAAACACACCCGACTTGTCGCAATAAAACAGTTGTACTAAAATTCACTCTGTCACGGCTCCGGATAATATCGGGGACTAGGTTTTGCCATCCAAAAAAAAGGCTTCAAGTGTGCGTTTGTTACGGGTCTTCCTTACTAGAAATATCTGAAAACAAGCGACTTGGTTTATGACAATGTAAAGGAATATGAATAGTTTTGAAAAAAAAATGTTAGTAGCCTCTAAATGAGCCTATTTGAAACTATTGGATAGACATATTAAAGTTTATCATATTTTATATTATAGACTAGGGATAACACGTGCCTTCAGACGCGGCGCAATGTAAATGAAAAGTAATGAATTTGGAGGGAAGAGTGTGAATTCAATGTAAATGATTTTGAAATGAATGTTGGTGACCGTTAAATAAGTTTATTTGAGACAATAAACTTTATTGAAATCTATCTTGTTTAATATTATAGATATACAAAATCGAGTATTTTAGGGTGAAACCATTAGACATTAAAACAACATCATAAATGTTAGCACATGAACTATTATAGGGTAAATTATACTTTATAATTTTGAACTATTATCTTTGTTTTATTTTGCACATTGAAATATAAAATTTCTCACATTACACACCCTAAAAATTTTATTTCATATCACTCTAATAAATAACGGTTGTCAATTTTTTGACGATAAATATTCATGTGAGTGGTATGTACTGTCAATTACGTATATGCAGGTCAAAAATTAAAAAAAATATCCATGCATGACTTTGCCCGTCTTACGCTCAAAATTTTCTTCCTCTTACCAACCTTATTTTTCTTCTTAGCAACCATATAATTGTAAAAGAGGTAAAATAAAGTTGTTTTAGGTACTTGGTGAAAAGATCTTTGAGGTTTTTTTTTTTTTATAGATTTTTAAGTTTATCGTTATTTATTGAACTAATATAAAATAAAATTAATATTTAATGTTCAATGTGAAAAATTTAATAGTTGGTGATACAAAATAAAATAAAAATAATAGTTTAAAAAATAAAGATAAAGTGTAATTTACTCACTATTACAATAGTCCCCACTGCCGTTGCAAACAATGGCCTATTAGCGATGGCGAGTGTGTTGCCAAACAGTGTCATAATAGCAACCTTTTACAAAGAAAAAGTCCCACTGTTCAAAAAAGTCCCATTCTCTTTCTCTCTTGACCATCAAAAGTAAAAAGAGTGTAACCAATAGTGCAATTGGAATTTTTAGTTACAAACTTATTTCATGATATGAAAAATCCGAGGCCAGCTTGGTGCAGAAAGTTGGTTGTTGGGGGAGATTGTACTCCATGAGGTATGCGTGTCATTCTGCTTTCCGTCTTTCGTGCCCCGCACTGTGTCAATTCAAAACGATTTATATATAACTAATTAATAATCAAAGAAAACTTTAATGGGGTAATTCAATTGCAATCAGGAATGAATTATAAATTCAAACGTTTTAAATTTAAATTTTGATAATTTTTTAAGGTCAATGACTAAATAAAAAAATTAATCAAAATACACTTAAATTGACCCAAAAAATAGTTGCAGAACTACGCAATTGAGAGAGGACAATCTTTTGTTTCGGCTCCTATTTCTTTGTTTTGGGAATCTCTTCTCCTAAATTATCCTCTAGATAAGCAATTTGCAACCCCGCGATCAAGCTCTTATAATTTATTATCCTAAAAACTATTATCCAACTTTTGTTATTTCATCAAATTGTGAAATTTGTATCTTTCATGATTTGGTTAAGATTATACGCATCACAATATTTTCTATCAGAAAGTCTCCAACTGATCCATATCAATTATACCATTAAACATTGCTAAATTGATTTTTTTTTTTTTTTTGGTTACGTACAGGTTTGTGCCGACTATTATCTCGAACTCTGAGCTAACTATCATAACTTGAATTAGTTTAAGAATATGTCCATAAAGAACAAGAATAACTTATCTTTAATAGGAAAAATAAACCATTAATCTATCATTTTGTGGGGTGCTAAATTTTAGCTCTACTTCAAGCAGATAAAATTAAGAATCAATCAGTAGCATGGACTTGTCCTATGTTGACTGAAGATATTTTTTCGACCCAACTACCTACCCTTTTGTTTTGCCAATCTTCAACGAGAGTATGATTCTCTGAATTGTAAGTTTGCAACGTTATTCACATGTGTAAGAAAATAAATACTACGGATTCCAAACTGAGATGAATTGGTCTCATTAAATATATTTTTTACAGGACTCACTAATTTAAGGGTCAAGAGTCATTTGAGATTATATTTTTGGAAGAGAAAAGCGGGGGGGGGGGGGGGGGGTGGAGTTTCTATCAACTTGTTTTAGGATAGTAAGTTCATGAGCTTCGTTTTATTTTACCGTCGAGAAACAAAAGAAAATTTTCATCTCCAAATTTTACCCGGACATAACTCCATTTTTTGGTGTAAAACAGTGTCAAATCAAAATATCCAACAAGTATTAGCTTTCCATGAAAAATAGGTAATATCACTTTTTAAAACTAAGTTACAATTTTTTTGAACCGTAAATTACAATTTATAAAAGACATTATCAATCATGAAAAGTTATCATCAATATCAAAAATTACTATTTTTAATGTTAGGTTACAACTTTTAAATATCAAGGTACAAGTCATACAAGAGAGAAGTTACAATTGTTGAAGGAAAATTCGTAATCAATCATAAGTCTTGCATTGAACAATTATAACTTATTATTTTAAAATATAAGTTTACTATAAAGGGTTATTATTTTTGGTACGATATTAAAATTATTTTTTTTGGTGTCGTAGATTTTCCCAAATTTGGGATTCGTAGCATTGTTGGTGTAAGAATGTGTGCCAAAAATAAAAATAATTAACAAGGAGACTAAAAGTTGCATATGAAAAAGAAAAAGAAAAGAAAGAAGTACATAAAATAAAATTGGAGACTGACAGTCCTGAATCCATAAATTGAGTCAATTATGGAAGCGGATTATCAAAAGTTGTAAGAAAAGTTGTCACTCATCCTTTGATTATTATTAATTTTCTTTTGACAAAAACTAATTTGTGTGGTGTATTAAATTCATACAAATTTTATTTTTTTTAATTGCAGGACTTTGGAGAGCCTTGATGTCAAAAAATAATTAAAAATAAATATGAGTATTTGGACCGTTATGACAACATAATCTTAGATAATTTTGACACCATTCTTGACTCAAACTTCTTGCAATATAAATAACAAAATACCATGATTTGATAACGTGAATAATAGAAAATTTGGTTAATGATAAATTCAAATAACTTGTTTAATTAGTGTATTGTTTAGGGAAAAATGTCATTTTTCCTAATTTCTTTGACATAGTATTGCATGAACCAACCACACAATATTAAATGATTTTTAATTTATTTTTTAAATTTTTAGTTAATAAATATTCATGTCTTAAAGTTACAATAAATTATGTGAACAAATCAGATATGATCTTAATTATTATAATCTTTAACTCATGTGTATACTGATATGCATGTGAGGTTTTTCGTTAAAGTTAGTAGTGAATTTGAACAGAAGGATTATGTTAGGCTTATTGGGAACCGATCGAAAACCTCAATTTTTTTGGTTTTAGAGAAAAAGAAGTTTGATATGTTTGAAGCCGAACTTATTGAGTTGTTTTTCCATTAATTTTTTGGATAATGACAAATTTCATTATCACAAAAAAAAAATTGAAAAATGAACCTTATCCAAGGGTTTCAAAAAATAAATCAATTTTTTTGGAAGCACTCTATACGATTTTAAGAAAATTTTTAACCCTTACTTTTAATTTTTATTTTTTGCACCCAAAAAAGCTAGCCCATTGAGTCAGATTCTACAGTTGGGAGATTAAATTGATATAAAAATTAATTTATGGACTTAATTAATTGGCACACATCATGTAATTTAAGGGTCATCCATGTACTTATCACAACGAAGAAAATATCCAAACGAGGCCTTAACACAGCAGCCATTCAAAGTCCACTGGCCACCAAACCACCCAGCGTTCCGTCAAACAATTCAGGCGATTTATTTTAAAAAATTCAATTCCCCACCGCTCACCATAAGCATACTTCTCCCCCCCCCCCTCTCTCTCTCTCTCTCTCTCACACACACACCAAGTTCACACATATATATGTATAGGAATCAACGAACGAGTACGCTCATTGGCTCCGTTCTTATTTTATAGACGCCTTCTTACATCAAACGAGCACAAGGCAGCTCACAGGCAGGGTAATTCAAATATAATTTTCCGATCAAATTCGCTCGTTAGCTTTGGTGAATCCGAACTTAGAATAGATCCGTCATTTAATGATTCATTCGGTTTTTTTTTTTTGTGACGAAACAACAGAGGGAGTTGTGAATAATGGGAAGTTTGAAGGCGATTCTGAAGCATCCGGATGATTTCTATCCGATGTTGAAGCTGAAGATGGCCGCACGGCACGCGGAGAAGCAAATCCCACCGGAGCCACACTGGGCGTTCTGTTATACCATGCTCCACAAGGTTTCTCGCAGTTTCGCTCTCGTCATTCAACAACTCGGCACCGAACTCCGCAACGCCGTGAGTCCCGATCCACATTTATCCGTCGATTTTCACAATTATTTTGTTCGTTTCTTTTGTGTGTGTGTGTGTGTGAGAGAGAGAGAGAGAGAGAGAGAGAGAGAGAGAGAGAGAGAGAGAGAGAGAGACTAAATTATGTGTACAGTGCACAGACCTGGAGTCGATGCTTTGCGCTGCGACTAGGAGCAGTAAAAATTGATTAGGAACTCGAATTATTTGGGAGAATATTGTATGCTCCTTTTCGCATATATATATAGAGTGACGCGTGCTCATATTCCTGACTTTTTTGTGATTTTTGAATTTTATTTGTAGAGAAGTGTCCTCATGTAATTACATTACATGTATTTTCTTGGATTGTGTGGCCTGATTTGTGTTCTTCCGATGTTCTTAGAACTCCGTGATATACTTAAACCTGGACAGTATTATTTTCTAGGTTTGGAGGTAGTTATACTTCCAAACCTTTCAAGTCCTCGATTGACCGGCTAGGTAGAGGAAAATTACAACACTCGGTCATTTTTTACTGTTGGTGATGCTTACTAATGATTGCAGCACCACGGAAACGAATGAATATGATCAGGTGAACCCCAAGTATGTGGTATGTGTATGTCTACGTCACATATACCACACATATGTGACTGTCTTTAGGTTTTGCGTTAACGTTCTAATTGCATAAGTGCACTAAATAGCTGCCCAAAATGCTCTAAGATTCTCTTGTTTATTCATATGTACGTACTAAAAGCGGCAAAAAAGTAGCCTCTTGCTTATTTTATGAAAGGAATGGAAAGTGACACAAAGGTGTCATGGCCACAAAATGTCAGACTGATATACAATCCCCACATGTTTCTATAATCCGTGGATGCAGGCATAAGTAACTTGTGATGTTCAACCTGGCAACTCCTCCAATATTGAACTTCTACACATCACGGTTTTGTGTGTATGTTAGAAAACCGAAATATTTATCTCTGTATAGAAAGTATTAGTTGTTATAATAGTTTCAGTAACAAGAAACATGGGAGTCTTGTTCTCATATGTATACTGTTAGGCAATAAAGGAGGACAGTTTTGACTTGTCCAAAAGATGATGGCGACCAGTGGACATGAGTTTTGGGTCAGCTAGGTGTATTGTTGCACTATTTTCTTTGGCTGGAAGCCTGTAACAACTAACAAGTGAAGTTTTGTTGATTTTTTTCATATCTGCTAGTGAGATTGAAGTGAAAGACATGTATGCTATGTCACATAATCAACTTTACACTGCAAAATAGTTCGTTGCTTCTTATCAACTAAAAGATTTAAAAAACAAAAAATAGTCCTTGATGCAAAATGCTTCTGATTTCTTTTGTATGTTATTCTCGAATTTTGCAGGTGTGCATTTTCTATTTGGTTCTTCGAGCCCTTGACACTGTTGGTATGTTCCATTATCTTTAAGCTTATGTTTGCTCTGTCATTAGGTACATATCTGATTCATAGTTGTCAACTTATTGCTATAGCTTTCATGATTCACTGTCCTTTGTTTCTTCTCTATCATTCAAATTTGACTTTCCACCTTAGAAAACTTTTGGGTTTATTAGAAGTTGGGATATACTCAAATGTCAGACATAGCTTCATACTTTATAAGAGCAATTTTGATATTTTCTAAGCATTAATGTATCACATCGTCTTTCTAATGGATGTCGTCTTATCATTTTACATTTTTTTCTCCATACCTCTTATTATTCAACAAAATCTTGCAATATATGCTCAGTGTTGGCGAAGACAAATAATGTTCATTTCACAATAAACATGTGCTGGAAATTTACTTTTTTGTCAGTGGTTTGGAAGAACACTTAATTTCACATTATCTCTCAAATGGCTAGCTTGTCATGTCATGTCATGCTTTTCTTTATTTATTTACTGGATTTGAAAAAGTTGCTATTTCTAAAGCAGTTGAGAAGCTCTATTTTGCCTTGTGTATATTTTTTCATTGTCCATAACAATCATTAACATATAGAAGTGTTACTTGCTGCACTCCGGGAGCAGTTTGAAATCATGTTACTTGGTACATTCATGTCATTTATTTTCGTGTTTTCCTATTGGACAGAGGATGATACGAGCATACCCACTGAGGTTAAAGTACCTATTCTGATTGCTTTTCATCGGCACATATATGACCGCAACTGGCATTTTTCATGTGAGTATGTTGTAATTATTTTTGCCTATTCTGATTGGTTTTCTGCTGTATACCCCTATGCTGTTCCATTCATTTCACACAAGTGAACACCTTTTTTGACTTATTCTCTGCCCCAGATTTGATTTCAATTCAGTGGACACAAACAGTGGAAGTGGGTTAATGCAGGGGAGAATCACAAACTCTTTATTATCGACGCTTCACCATTTCACAGCTTCACTGGTTATAGCACAAAAAGCAATATGGTGTCAATGCCTATGTTGGATACTTCCCAACCATGCACCGGGGTTGTGATTAGTCCTTTTTTAATGTCAAAACTAACTATAGATGCAAAAAATTATCACTTCAAAATTGTGCCCAATGTTAGACGCAATATAAGTTATGCAAAATTATATCCGTGAGAAAGTAGATGTAAAACTTATAGGAGGTAAATTAGAGGAGAATTGACTTAGTTGGTTTGGACATATTCATAGACGACCTACTACAACATTGGTGAGAAGAAGTGATATGATAGCCATTGACCGTAAACGTAGAGGTAGAGAACTTTAAATTGAGTTTAGATGAAGTAGTAAAGAAAAATAAAGTAACTTATGGTTTAACAGAAAGAATGGCTTTCAATAGAGCACAATGATGAAACATGATTTATGTAGCGAACCCAAAAATACTAGAAAAAGTTTTGTTGAGTTTCGTTGATTATCTTGGTTATTAAGGAGATGTCATTGGAAAAGAATGGTGAAATTAAATGCATTAGTAGGCATAGATTTTATGATTAACTAAGTACTCAAAAATTTCTCTTGAGCTTCTGTGGCTTCTGTCCCATCAAAATGCACATCTTTTGATGTTCAAATTTTGTTGTTACACGTGTCTGCTAATGGTAAATATCTGTTAGACCAAGCAATCCATTCAAGAAAATGAAGATTGTACATATGTATTTCCCATCCTTTGCAGATAATAGAGCTCACAAATTCCAAGCAAAAATAAAACATGCATCCATGTGCGTCTGTGTAAAACGAATAATTGACCCAGTGAGTTCAGAACATATGCCAGACAACAAAATAAGGTCATTGTAACCCATATGCGTGGCTTAAAGTTGTTGTTACAGCTGGTTACATATTTCGATTAGAAAGACTAATCAGAATCATGCATATTACGGGCGATGTTCCATGCATCGCTGGCCAGGGAAAAAAAAGAAAAAGAGTTGTGCATATTAAGGGTTGAAATAATCATACTTAAATCTTGCAAATTCTGACTTTTACATGTAGTTAGAGCTGGTGAAAGGGGGGGGGGGACTGCAAGCCTGAATGGGCGGAGCAGACTAACGTGCCCCTACCTCCCTCCATTTGTGCATTTGAGGTTTCCAAAGTTACACTAAATAACTTGAAAAAGTTGGGCCACTCGACATTATTCTTATGGGTCTGATCCATTCCCCGGGCTTGGATTTTTGGGTTGTAATGTGGGCACTTGAGATATGTAAAAGGGATACAAATAAGTGTAGAGCCTCTTATATATAACCAATGAAAGTTACAATAAGGATAAAAAGGTAAAAAAGAAAGACTTTATTAAACTCTAATAAACTAGGATGCTATAACTCCAACATGGGCAATTGGGCAGATTAACGTGTCCCTCCCTCCCTCCATTTGTGCATTTGAGGTTTCTAGAGGTACACTAAATAACTTGAAGGAAAAGTTGGGCCTCTCGACATTATTCTTATGGGTCTGATCTATTCCCTGGGCTTGGATTTTTGGGTTGTAATGTGAGTTTCTGTCGTAATGTGGAACCCAGTATAAAAAGGGATCATGGGAATGGTCCTCCTTGATCTTATATTGGAATTCCTATCTTGTGGTTACCCATGGACACTAGCTTTAGAGCTAAGTTATAGAAATTGTTGTTTCTTTTGTAATGATTTTTTACTCACCAGATTTCTTTGACGTTGCAACTCTGCATTGAAGGTCTGCTGGAACAAACTGTTAATTGGCCTCATAAATTACACTACAGAAGTTTACTTTTCTTCTCTTTTGTTTTTGTTTTTCAGTATGCACCATTACTGGAATGTTCATAAAATATGTTAGAATTTCCAATTATATTCTTCGGGCTTTTTTAGCTAGTAGTTTAAGTTCTGTTTTGCCTCATAGAGGTAATCCTTTGTGATCCCTACAATGCCATCTGCTTCCGTATAAATGTGTTGGTCTGCTGCTAAATATACATATTACTTATTGTTGAAAGGTGGTACAAAGGACTACAAAGTTCTCATGGACCAGTTTCATGATGTTTCCACAGCTTTTCTGGAACTTGGCCGCAGGTTACTTCTTATACATGATGTATCACTTCCTTTTGTCATTTATGCATTTGTGTATACAGTTTCCTTGTTATAATCTTTTCTTGGTGTTCTAGATTAAAGAATTCTGATTTGAATATGAGGTTATTCATGCCTTCTTTGAGGAGATACATTTGTCAGTCAGACAGATAAACTTACAAAATTTACTATTTTACAGTTATCAGGAGGCAATAGAGGACATTACCATGAGAATGGGTGCAGGAATGGCAAAATTTATATGCAAGGAGGTACTTAATGAACGTCATGCAAGAGTGAATGATGCTTAAATTCAGAAGTTTCTATTATGATTATTATCTTAATTATTGCAATGTTATGGCTTATTTATTGTGATTTCTTACATCAAGAAATCTGTAATTTCCTCAGTCAGTTGGTTTTATTCTGTGGTTTTGCCAATAAAATTGTGTCCTGTGGTTTTGCTGTTCTTCTGTGTCTGTCTGATAATTCTAACACAATGAATGCCCAAAATGTCTGACTGCTCGTTCTCATTAAAACAAAGGTAATACTCTGTCAATGCAAAAATGATTTTTTGAAGGATGCATGGAACTTTTTCCGTAGTGGTATATTATTTAATTTTTCAACTGTCCAATTTTTTATGGCTATAAAAAGCAACTAAGTGGTTAAACAGAATCTGTGGTCCACCATGCATACTCACAAGCATGTGATAAGACATTTGATCTGGAAGATTTACAACAGTTAACCAAACAGTATGGAAGATGACTAAAATTTTGACCATCTAGGTGACCTCTGTAGGTTCTGACTAATTTCTCATGTAGCTGTCTCCACAAGTAACCGCAATTTGTGTAAATTATGTCTGACTATTTGTACAATATGATGCGCATACAAAATTAAAGCCTAATAAAATCCAACGTTGGGTTATCAGAGGTGTTAGCGGCCCCTGGAGCTATGTTTACAATGTAGCTGACAAGTTTAGCTGACAAATTCTTTCTTTTGCAGGTAGAAACAATTGATGACTATGATGAATATTGTCACTATGTGGCAGGACTTGTTGGATTAGGGCTGTCAAAGCTTTTCCATGCATCTGGGAAAGAAACTTTAGCATCAGATTCAATCTCAAATTCAATGGGTTTATTTCTTCAGGTACTCCTTTTGACATGCATAGCAACAAGACCTTTTCATCTTTGATCTACATTTATGTTTGGAAGTCTAATTCACACATGTATATTTTGTATGCCGTAAATTACAGAAAACAAACATTATCCGAGATTACCTGGAGGACATAAATGAGATACCAAAATCACGCATGTTTTGGCCTCGCCAGATATGGAGTAAATATGTCAACAAACTTGAGGTTCGTCTTTTTGACGTGCTTGATACCTAATTTGGTTTTGCTCTTTTTTACCTGTCATCTTGGTCTTTTCATGATGCGTCAGTGCATTCTCTAAATTTTATCTTGGTAATATGCGGCTCAGGACTTAAAATATGAGGAAAACTCAGTCAAAGCAGTGCAGTGTCTGAATGACATGGTCACAAATGCTTTAATCCATGTTGAGGAATGCCTGACATACATGTACAACTTACGAGATCCTGCTAATTTCCGATTTTGTGCTATTCCACAGGTATGTGTTTCTGAAGGGGTATTTGGGGTTTGATACCTTTAAGTTTGCATAACTTGCTGTACTTTTTTCTTGTGTGAACCCTACATCGTGGGATCTCTGTTACCTACAACTACTACTCAAATGTATAAGCATATTCTTAGTAATTTGGTTTTTCTTGTCAAAGTGTAAGAACAACTTTCTTGTGAGTATAGGTTCTTTTTTATGTATGGTGGTGGGGGATGATTTATTTCTTGAATTTCATGTTTTGACATTGTGTTGCATCATTTACCTCACTTGTTCACTGCTGCAAAACTAGACAATGCTACACAAAAACCTTAACCGGTTTTCGATGAATGGCGATAGTGTGATGTGCTTTTGCCTATCAAGTTTTTTGCTTAGTAAACCAAGTATCAACAATCTAGAATTAGCGTGAAATTTCTTTGAGTTAGAGTCCGAATTATGCGGAAGAAGATGGTTTCATTGACATTCATCTTGTAGATGAATAATCTCTCTCTCTGCTCCCCTTTCCCCTCTCCCGTCCGGCTCTTTCATATTTTCTTATTTTAACTAAAACTCTGGCTGTATATATGCTTTAAATTGTGGATTAATTGCCAGTGACTTTGTTGCAAATCCATTGCATCAGTCGGCCGTATATTATTCTGTTTTTTATATGACATTTTTGTGTGTAAATTTTATTATTACTATCCAGTAGAACTCCGAGTTTGTCATCAGAATTATTATGCTCATGCACTTGAAATACATGCCATTTCATTTTGTAAACCTGCATCTGATCTGCTATATACTACTTTTACCAGATCATGGCAATTGGAACCTTAGCTTTATGCTACAACAACGTTGAAGTTTTCAGAGGGGTGGTAAAAATGAGACGTGGTAAGATTACTGCCAGTTGGCACTGCACTCCTTGCTACATCATATGAGTAGTATTTAGTTATTCACTGCTAATGTATTCATCTTGTTATGGTGCCTCTCTTACCTTGGTTTTAAGTATTCTATTTTTGATCTTTTGTAAATTTGGATATGAATTATTAAAAAAAACTAGTAAAGCTATTTTGTCTTCCTATACAAAGAATGAATAATATGACAAATCTGAATCAGCCTTCAAATGGGCTGCAAGGCCAAAAATCAGAGGTGGTGTTGTCAACATTAGATTTTAGAATAGCCACCACGAGGCCCACCAAGCAATTTTCAACCTTACTCGTCAATCCATGCAACTGTGGTCCTTGAATTATTGGTTGACCTTTGCAATAAACCAACACGGGTGGAAATTTGATCTGACATTGGGATTACCAGCACAAACCCGACCATATAGGGTGCATATCAAAATTTGGAAAAGTGATTTGGGATAAATGCAAAGGTAGTTGGCTTTACAGGATTGACCAACACCACCCTGCACCCCAACTTGGAATTTCCTTTTTTCCCCAATCAGGTGGCTGCCATATCAAATCAGAGTCTATAATACTGAAGAGGTTCTTGCCAAGAATGTAGGAAGCTGATTGATACGATGTTTTATTAGTTCAACAAGAAATCTTTTCAGAAAGTGCCTTCTTTGGTCATATCAGACTGTGCCTTCAGTCTGGAGAATTTTAGGTTTCATCTTTTCATACTTCTAAAACTGCTTTCGGGTGATTTGGCGGATTGATATATTGGTTGTGAATGCTCCTTTTTTAATTGACTATAATTTGGATGGGCTTTACTTTCTTATGTCAAACTTATTTAACAGCAACTTGTCCTCCTCCTCCCCTTTCCCCCACCCCCTCTGCTTGATCTTGATGAAGGATTATAATTGCTTGATAAAAAAGGTCGTCATTCTATCTATGTTATTTTGTATTGTGCCATTGTATATGTTCGCAATGTTTGTTTTGTAATAAATCCTGGATAATTTTGTGTTCCATTCCCTTTCTCTCATTGTGGTTTCCTTTCCTAGGTCTTACTGCCAAAGTTATTGACCGAACAAAAACAATGTCAGACGTGTATGGTGCTTTCTTTGATTTTTCTTGTATGCTGAAGTCCAAGGTATGTTGCTTCATAATTTATGAAACTTATTGATTTGCTGGCACATGGTCCCCAAGACATGATGAATCTTCTTCAATCTGTATGGCACCTCCAGAATATGTTTTCAGGACTCTAAAATGTTCTAAAGGATATTGGTTTAGCAATCTACTCCTCAGTCTATTAAAACTATTATTAATTTATAACTCTGTCTAATCATCTTGGGAGTGAAGAAAAAGTGTGCAGAAATCCTTCAGATGGATAAGATAAACTGTTCTAGTGATTGTCTTCAGTAATTGTTTTAGCAAGGTGATTGTGTCCAGACATTAGCTTCCCCATATAAGATAAATATGTATTTATGGGCACACCTAGGGGAGGAAACCTGGGAATCATGGCAGTGTCTTCTGAAAAGAAAAGAAAAATAGCATAGAATTACTTTGAATAATGACACAAGTTTGATGGTTATTCTTCTTCCATATCTTTGTGACTAACCCTCAGACATGGACATTTAAACATGAGCTGACCTGTTGAACATGATTCTCCTATTCACAGCATCTAAACCACCTTTTAATTTTATGTGGAAATTTCTGAAGTTACTGAAAACCAGCTATTTTGAGTACTGTAGGTTGATAAGAACGATCCCAGCGCCACAAAAACATTAAGCAGGATAGAAGCAATTCAGAAAACTTGCAGGGAATCTGGAACCCTAAGCAAAAGGTTTGCTATAGTTTCTAGTTGCAGTTTACTATCATTGTTTTCCAATGTCTGACCATCTCTGAGTTCCACCAGGGGGTCTTACATAATCACAAGCGAGCCAAGATACAATTCAGCTCTGGTGAGCATCTATGCCGATTTGTCTCCATGGCATTCCGGGCAAAGAATATCTACTCACTATACTCTTTTTTTGTTGCAGATTGTTCTAATCTTCATTGTCCTGGCAATCCTTCTTGCGTATATTTCTGCAAACCGATCAAATAATATATGTAGGTTCTGTTGCAAACAAAATTCAATAATTACTACCAAATTTTTCCCTGGGGTTTTGATGTTCTATTCTGTATTTACAGGATTTGCTGCTGTGAGAACCTATGGTTATTCATGACTAGCTGTATGTATAATGGTCATCCTCAACTGTTTATGAATATTATTACATAAATATTTTATTAAGTATTCTGTATCTTGCAAGTCTATGTAAAAACTCTTTATCTGTAGTTTGACAACTCAATAAAAGAGTGAAATGAGCCAACATTTCGACTCTTTATTTCCACATTATAAACCTTCAAAGAGAGCTCTCTTTCTGGTCAAGGTAACCCAGTTGATGTAATTGAGATGGGAAAAATGTATGTTGTTTGTATTTTATTCTCTTTGACTCTATTTTGTTTCATACAATTCGAAGAAACTAGATGATTTTGAAGACCAGTCAACATTATTGCAATTTTTCCTATTTCCAGATCATATATTCCCATGGTCCCAGCAGGTGCTAAGCTTATATATGTTTACTCAGATTTTCTTTTAGCGTTGATTTTTACATTCCTTTTGGGGCATGGTGGTTTAAGCCGTCCAGATATATGGTTACTTGGGAGGGGTGATTTAGAGGTTATGAATTTGAATCGTTGAAATAATTTTTCTACTTGCAAGGGTAAAAAAAAGGGACCGTGTACATTTAATCTTTCTTAGAGTCTACAATGGCGAAAATCTGATGCACCTGGTATACACTTTTATATATGATTGCTTGAGATAGTGATATTTTCAGGTTAAGTTTCCAAAACGAGAATAAAACCACTTATTATTTATTTCTCAACAATGGTTATAGAAGAAAGCCTTGTGCACCGGATGCCGACAACCAATCATATTAAGTTGTGCGGTTCTCCTGAGAGCTCCCTTCAAGGACACACCCTCTTAAGTGGAGCAAATTGTAACAAAAAACTGGGAAGAAAAAAGCAATAATATTAAGGAACCCAAAAAAAGTTATTTTGTATGTAATGGATCGAAAAATATGTTTTCAAACAAGGGCAGAAATGCATTATGTCCCCAAATCTACCAAAAAAAAAAAAAAAGAAAATGCAAAAACAAAGGGAAAAAAAGGACAAAGGAACGAAACAAATACATCCACAGATGAAGAAGAATGCACCGTGCTCTACTGTGAGCACATTCCAAGACCTGAAGGATACACACATACAACAACGATTGATGAAGCTCAATCCAACACATTTGGTTTAGAACACTTCAGCCACCTTGCTAGCAAGAACACGTTCCCGTCTTTCAACGTATCCAAATGGGAACCAACCTGCTTTCCCTTTGCATTCACCTTCCGCCCATCCGTTGTTTGAAACCTGTCAAAATAGCACACCATGAATCATTGTTGTCCTGAATTCAGTTCAAATACATTAACACGTGGAAACACTGGACGCCATCCATCAGACTTTTTGGCAAACACAGATCCTTAGAAGGGCAATTCAAATATAACATGGGCAGCAGATTATTGCTAAGAGTAGGACTCTGAGTACACATAGTATAATTGAAAACTGCTGCTGTATACTACCCGGTGATAGCAGGTCTAATCAACTGCTTCAATGAATGTTAAGTTTGACTACGCGACTCCTTAGCCCACAACAGTAACTTTTTACCAAGAAGCGCATGTCCCTGATCTGCTTGGTATAGTGATGGATTTCCTGACCAACGCCTAACCAACACAAATAAACTGTCTAACCAGCATGAATAAACTGACATGAAATGAGTTTCCCATGGAGCATTTTCTCCATCAGTCTCAGGCATACAGAACTTGTGCAACGCAACAGTAGTTGGCCTTTTATCATCTTCTCTCCAGTAGACTTCACAAAAGGGCCCCAACTTCTTGCCATCGTTAAGAGTTTGACTGCATTGCTTTCTGTTTTTTACTTTCATTTGGTTTTTGTTTTTGGGTTGATGGGGTGGGGGGACAAGTTCCTTGTCAACCGTTTTCCCTAATCTCTTTTCATTTGTTTTTCGTATTACCAAACATAGCCTACCCATTCAATTCACATGGTGGCAGAGTTATGTTGGGTCATTCCCCCAGTACTACTGAATTTTGTGAAAAATTGTTTGGCACCCTGAAGTATTAATATTTTCAGTGAGTATTCTCTATTCCCCACGACCTCCAGCCCCTCCCCAACTCTGAAGATTCTGGTTGCACCATTGCATTTAGCAGGATATTTTTGTACAATCTAAGAATAGCTTAAAATAGGGAAAAAAAACAGAAGAAAAAATATTACAACAATGGAAAATATGACCGCACTGGTAAAAGAATCTGAAGCGGTCTTGGACCATGGCAATAGTGATCAATAGAAATTAAAGAGATTACACAAAAATTGGGTAAAGAAAACCACGGTACTTACAGAAGTAGGAAATATTATAGATAAACATATCTTGTATATATTTATATTTGCATGTTTCCCAAAAACTTTTATTGGAAAAATCAAAGACTCATTTTGGACAGCAAAAAAGTGTGAAACAAATTGAGGTAATGTTCGATGACAGATCATATGGTTATTCACGGGACAAATTGAGCTCATAGCTAATGTGTAGTATGAACTAGTTAAGGAAACAGAATGATAGCTATTTACAAGCTTCAACTCCAAGTGACTGATGTTTCCATATCCACAAGTCAAGTTATACATCTTTTACTCCTGATTTTTAAGCAATTGACAAATTCAAAAAATTAATCCATTAATACACTTAGAAGCAGTGAGGAGACTATCCAATTGGAATAATTCTTAATATAATTGCGGTGAAAAAACTCTCAGGGTTCCAGAGAGTAATATACCGAATGTGAAATCTGTGATTGTCCAACTTTCATTCTCTGTGTTCTAGTATCAGTGAAATGTAGGTATGTTAAAGCTTGCAAAAGTGCAGTTGTTATTGAGAAATATTCAAACTAGGGGTGCAACTTGGATGGGCTAACCCGGAAAATGCAGTGTTTGAGTTGAGTTTTTTCAAACTTGCAATTCGGGTTGAGGCTTCAGGTTCACGATTCAACCCGAGCCCAGATCAAATTACTAAAAACCGGGTTCAACCCAAATTGAACCCGAGTTCTTATTTAAGTATTTAAAAATATATATATAAAGGGCTACACAATAAATAATATGCATTACCTACATTCATCAACAACCTTTTATAGCATTAGAGGGAGTGTAAACTCCCTTGTTCAACCCGATGAGGGATGGTGACTAAAGAACAAAAGAAGATGTTTAAGTTAGAATCCCACATTGGTTGCAAACAAAAAAGTCTCTTCCCCCTTTTGTATATAAAGAAGGCAAACACAATGTGGCTTTAATGGGCTTGATTTTCATCGGGTCTATGTGAGTTTAATAAAAGCATTAACGGTATTTACATTTAGGAACCCGAATTTAACCCAAAAATTGAACCCGATTTAATAACTTGGGCTCAACCCAAGCCCGAGCCCGAACAGGCAATACTCGGGTTGAGGTCGGGCTCGGATTGGGCTTGGGTTGAGAGTTCTATAACTTGGGTTGGGCTCTCAACATCTCCAAGTTGCAGCCCTAATTCAAAGTGAAAATGCTCGAAAACTTGACATAAAACCGAGTATCATTGAGTGCAACTGTAGAAGAGTTGGGTCCAAGATTGACTAACCTTTCGAACAACAACACAGTCACCAGTCGACAAAGTAAGCTCTACGTCAGATTCAGCTTGATATGAGTACAACGCCTGCAACAAAATGCAGCAAGCAATGCACAAGAATAAGAAAACAATTAAACAACCAGCATAAACATCAATGCAATTTATCATACCAATACAAAGTAGAACAGGTATTATGATTCCTTACTTCTCCTAAAAAGTAACCCATGCTGTCGGTTGATCCATTATGCAATGGAGAAGTAAATACACCATTTACTTCTTCATACGATGGAGGTGGAGGCATACTATCTGTACTCAAACTAGGAGCTGCTTCAATTTGTTGGCGCTCCGATATCATCTGTCAATGACAAAGAAACAAAGCATATCATCAGGGAAAGGAAAAAAAATATATGAAATCAAGATAACCTGTAGGTCCAACTGCAACAGGTAAATAAATGTCATGCAATGAAAGGTCTTGGTAACATTATACATACCTCACCTTCTAGCCGATCAAGTATCTCCAGTATTCTTTGATGGTAAGCACGTTCTGATTCAACCTTCAATACAGAAGATAGAATGCCTAAATTTTCTTTATGAAAAGTGCATTTAACTCTATTAGATCAAGAGGTCAGATTACATTACCATGGAAATAAGTCGCTGGAGAGTCAACCGTTGTTGCTGAGCTTCAACTGCTGTCATTGCTGCAGCAGCCTCCTTCCCCAATATTGCCACGTTCGATTTCAGATCCTGTAGCTTTGCTTCTGCTGCTTCAAGTTTGAAAGCAATGTCAGGATTGCCTGTTCCTTCTCTCAATTTTGCTTGGCGTTTGAAAACTTCAATAGCCTATCTAGGTTTAAGAGCAAATGCAATTACAACAGGTAGAAGAATATGCATCCCATTAACACAGTGAAAAAAGGTATTAAAATACCTGAACTTCAGCTTCCTGTCGCATTCTATCATATCGTTGAGCAAGATGTCGAGCATCTTCCAATGGAGCTCCCATTACCATTGCTCTTAATGGTTCAGCAACCTGGTAATGAGATATCAATCATCAAACTAAGCACTGATCTGATAAGGTCAGCACATGGTAGAAAGGGCAAGCAAAATAATGCATAAAAAACAGAGCAAAATCAAATCCCTCTTGATTAATATTTGAATCTAGCAGAATTTAAAGAACATATTATACACCTAAAATGGGAACAAGTACTATTAGGAAAAATTTTACTGCTTATGTGCCACCATGATAATCCATAACAAAAATGCTAGCAATTTGGATATTAAATGCATGATACTGTCCGAAAAGTGTCCACAAGAAATATAAACCTCTAACCAACTGTTTTCTCAATAGATTGACTTTTAAAATAAAAAGAATTCATATTAGATATTTTACAATGTCTTGAAAATCCTATCGTCATTAGTTTTTTTAATTCCTTTTTCCTTATGGGGGAAATAGTAAAATATTTTTATTACTGATAGTTCAGTCAAACTGCATGATGAGCAAACCGTGTTACTTATTCAGGCAACGCTTACAAGCAAAATGATTCCATGCCTTACTCAGAATATCATCCCTTGTCCAAATTTTGACAAACAGAATGCATCTCATTCCCAAGTTTTAGCTGTCTTGGTATGGTGAAGTCCTATAGTATCACATTATGGCCCAGCTCTCTTGTCTTTGTCATCGATAATCATCCCAAATCTTGAATTTGTGTAATGTGCCCAATTCCATTTTTCTTCTACCTATTTGAGATTGCCCACAAATATTCTGTCCTTTTACCTTTGATTATGCACATATCACAAAGTTTCACCTTATCTAGCCAGAGCAGCAGACATGGTAACTGGCAGTAAGCACAACAAAGACCATGGTTGAAATTGTGAGTGTATCCCTTACTCGTATCCCCTCCCAATGAACAAAAAAAAAAAAATGTAAAAACAAAGAAACACCGAAATGATTTCAACTCAACACAGTTTTGACCAAACTATTTGGGGTCGGGAACATAGATCTTATTTCGCTATTGTTCTATGAAGCGCCATATTATCTATTAAACCATAGGCTATCATAGTTCATATCTTCTTTTTTTTAACAATCTAAATGTCAATTCCCGTTCTCCACTACCCCTGAAATTACGGTCAATAGGCATCCTATAACTCTTCCCTACTACTGTGGTATATAGTCTTCTATAAATATGTTTAAACCAAAATATTCAGAAGGATTTATCTCTGCAGAATGCCTTCTATAGTTTATTTACCCGCTATACAATAATTCCACTCACCACCTTCATTCTAAAACACATATGTCTATGCAATGTGGTGATGTGCAAAAGTGTGTCTTGGTCATGATACCTAATCTTAGGGGCAATGTACAAATTGGTAAAAGAACAAAAACACATTATCATCAGACCTGTGTGCCAAATGATTTCAATAAATTCCCACGCTCCTTCTCCATCTGAGCACGAGCTCTACCAAAACTCAATGCAGCTTTTGATAATATACTACCGCTGGTACATGTATTCTCAACTCCATATTTCCTGCTATCTTCTGACAACTTAGTCCCTGATGAAAAAGTTGTACATAGAAAATTAGTGTCAACACCTTTGACATTGAGTCAAACCTGAATATTAAAAGCTGACATCACAGCTTCAGTATATCACCTATTTCAACTTGTTTGGACCCAGTAACAATGTAACCTTCTACACCACGAACAATATCCCTTTGAAAATGCTGAAAAATAAATGTAAACTTTTGTGAGCCAAGGAGAACACAAGTAACTTCAGAAATAAAACAGAATTCAAAAGATTGAGCAAATTAGTCCTAAGCAGATCTACAAGAGCAAACAAGTTTCAAAGGGCCATTGCTCAATGAAGGGATAAAGGTTCTCCTCAAATTGAATCTGTTTTAACAGTAAAGAAAAAGAAAGGAAAGAGAAAGTTCCAAAGCACAGGAATATTTGCAACCTTGGCAGCACGTGTTGATATGTAAAGCTTCTCAAGTTTTTGATGCTGCTGGAGTTCAGCTTCATCAGTAACATTATCTGAACCTCCGTATCCCCCACCCCCAAACTGCTTGAGGACAGCCTGAAATTTAACCCAATGATGATAAGCAGCGTGTCTTCAGTTAATCATAGATAAATGACATTGTTGATAAGAAAGTAAAGAAGCAAGAGTGGAGATAAACTCTGATCAAAGCTGAAACTACGTACATATCATTGAATGGTCCAAATTCAGTATGCACACTATATATCTAAATTGTAAACCCTACCAAGCAACATTAACTGAAAATGAATCCAATTCTTCCATTCACTTAATCAACACCTTAAATTTGGTTGTTATCTTCACCACGAACATAAATAAAACAGTATTCCACCAACATAACAGATCCACGTATCTTAACCACCATTAAACTAGCATTGCTTTAAATTGTCACCATCAAATATTCATATACACATTCTCCATTAGAAAATTCAAATGCATTAGACATTGATCAAATAATTACTATCACAGTGATTAAAGACTAATCTAAAAGTGACCTAACGGAAAAAAAAAAAGAAGAAGATATAAGCATTCTCCGTTAGAAAATTCAAATGCACTAGACATTGATCAAACAATTACTATCACAGTGATTAAAGACTAATCTAAAAATGCCCTTGCCGAAAAAAATAAAAGACACACACACAAGCGCACAAACACACTAAATCGACCACGAACTGAGCAAATTTAAGGATTCGACCACGAACTGAGCAAATTTAAGGATTGACATAAGGACTGAATCACATAACAATCAAAATTTTCATCGATCTCTGTATTGGCCGAATAAGAGAAAATACACATTGATCCACCAAAGGTTTGTGTAGATCCAATCCGAGTTCATACGAATGTGTACGAGTATACACGCAATCAATTTTCCACACATACCACAGAGAGCGGGAGGGAGAGAGTACCTGTTGTTGCCTCGCGACCTGTTCCCTGAGTCTCGTGGCTTGTTTCCTGATTGCTTCCATTCACGAAACAATAACTCACAGATGTGGATGGATTTGGCGAATGTGTCGGTGGCAGTTTAAAGGAAGAGAACCGTCGGAGCTTTGTCCCGTAGACGCTGTTAAACGAGTAAGCTTATTTTTTAAAAATCATTTACGTGAAAATAGTCAAACAAGCCACCTTATTTATGAAATTCAGTTCGATTAATGCCCTAGATCCGTCGTACAGAGAGAGAATTGTCTTCGAAGGCTTGGTTTATTTTGAATTTTTCGGGGGGATGTACTTACCTAAGAGACTGTCTATGCGGGCCATCCTGTTGGGCAGCCCCGAGCCTGTAATCCTGGCCCAACCATCATATGCCTTGTGGCCCACCAACTACTTGTGGGGCCTTTACAAATGGTTGCTGCAACAGGAACCAAGGCCTTATTTTCACTAATTTAGAAAGCCATGGTTTACAAGCAACTTTATAAGGGTTGAAAAAAAAAGATTGAGTAAAAAGATTTACCGCTAGAAATTTTGAATTTTGAATTTATAAAATTATAAAGATCATTAAGATTGATATATTTTTTTATCTACTTTGATCCAATAATAAAAAAATTATCTCAAAATTTTTTCTCATTAAAAAATATCATATTATTTGCACAACTCTCAATACTAGACAACTCCACTAATTCACATATCCCTCTTTTTTATTTTTTCTTGTTAATTTTAATTTTAAATTAAATAATTAAATAAAAATAAAAATAAAATTTTATTTAAAATATATAGTATGATCAATGCTCAAATTTTTGTATTATAGAGTGACTTCAGGCTTGAATTTTTGCTAGTTAATCTATATCTGAATTTCAGATTACAGAATGAGACTTGTATTTTACACGAAATACATATCGATTTCTTGAATCGAGTATCTATATTTTGATCCAATAACCCAATTCGGTGTTTACAGATATAATCTATATAATAAAGTAGAACGATTTTGAATTTAGGAGACAAAGAGTGGTTCAGATTGTTTCGAGATAAAAAAAGGTATCATCCAACGGACGACGATATTTTAAACTGTTTCAACCTATTGATGTCTCAGATCGTTTCGATCCGACGTACCATATTAGCTCTTCAAAATTTTTTGCAACTCAAAAAATTTAGTTTCCAAAACTAATATTCCTAAATTTAATTCCCCAACTCAGCCGATCTTTCATTCTTCAACTCTTTACAAATTGAAACACATGTCTCTCCAAAATTTTATCCTAATGCAGCTGTTCTTCATCTTTACTGTTCATATCACACACACATATTTACTGTACATATATATAGTACAAAAATCGAAGACATACTATATCTACATGTTATATCTTAGAAAAGTTTTATTTAAACAAAATGTAGTTGAGTCTAAATTCAATGACAACCCCTATAACAATAACTTTTATCTCTGTCAGTAGATAAAATAATGATTTAACTAAATATTTTATAAAAATACTAAAATTACTCTTTATTATATAAATAGACTGAAATGTCATCAATTTCCCCCCATTATATATGCGCTAGCCAGTCAACAAACATAATTTCAATCATTATAAAACGTCGTATTATAACTTTATTATAATATTAGTCATCATATTATCACTCATTTGGTTATATAATTAAGTTTTTATAATTTTTATATTTTTTTATCATAATAATTTTTATAGTTAAAAATGATTTTTCTATATTAAAAATTACAATTGATAAAGTCAATGTTAAAATCTCATCCATTTCTAATTTCTCTGCTATCATATGTCCTTCACAACGTCGTCCGACCACTCCTCACACATCGTGCTTCATATATAAAATTTAAATTATTGATAAATTTTATTTTAATTGAATAAATTTTATTTTAATTTTGATAAATTTAAATATTAATTTGATAAAATTAAATATTAATTTGGTTGAATTTAATGTTAATTGAATAAATTTGAATGTTGTTTTAATAAAACTAAATGTTGATTTGGTGTTTAATTAAAGAAATGACATTAATTTGATAAAGTTAAATTTTAAATTAAAGGAATTTAATATTCTATTTAATAAATTAAATAGTTTAATTTTATAAAATTAAATATCAATTTTGTGTTGATTTGATGAGATGAAATATTAATTTAGTTTAAATTAAATAAATAAAATTAATTTGATAAAATTAAATATTAAATTGATCAAAATAAAGACTAATATAATATAACTAAAAAAGAGTATATTGAAATTTCAGAATCAAGAAAGAGTATTATTATATTTAGATTTATTTATAAGTGGTGCGGATAAAATTTATCTCATAAAATACTCGCGAATATTTCTATAAATCAATTATCGCCATTAACGTTGTAACCTGACAATCACTGACAGGGAGTAACAGTGAAATTTCAGAATCGGAAGGAGGTATCATTGAATTTAGACCTAACTACAGGGGATCTGAATGAAATTTTCCTTATATTTATACAAATCTATATAATAAAAATATACAAGAAGTTAAATTTTATCCCATATACATTTCTCACCCTCTCAAAACTATCACATCACTCATTTCTATCACATGCTCAACCATTTAATATTTGATTAATTTGTAATTTAACATAATTTTTATTTCAAATATTATCTATACACGATAGTATAGATTTGTTAAAAAAATTTATCGAATTATATATTTTGAGAAAATTTTGTCAATATTTTTAAGAAAATAATGGGTAAAAATAAATTTTGAATGATTTAATCAAACAAATAAAAGAAAGAAAAAATATTATTTAATAAAATGATATTGATTTTTTAGGACTTAATTTTTTTATTTTATCATGCCTTTAAACACGAGTTATAACTCGTGTGTTTAAATAAATTACCACGTGTACCGTGAATCATTTGGGGGTGCATTGATAGAATATACAACGTTGGGCATAGATGTGGGAGCTGCTATGACTTAATTAAAAGATTCCAGGGAAGTTCTAGCTGTTGAGAATCACGAGGCTGTTCATTTTTTTTTTTTGTTTAAGAATGTCTAAATCAACTAACACACCACGCTGAGATTAAAGTATTCATGAGAGATAAATTTTTCACGATTTAACCCTGAAGAATTGTCAAGATTCAAACTCAAAATATCTAAATTTATAGTTCGTTTCTGTTACCACAGATTACTCATTTGGCAAACCAAATTGCTACCCAGATTAAACCTGATTCCTTCATTTATTAGTTTGTTTAAATGATAGACATCTCGTTTGACACACATCGGAGCTGGCATGACATTTGTTTTAGACTGTAGGAACATACTTATACATTAAGAGATTTGTTTACCCTTTTGCTAATATCCGAGTGAATGTTTAGTTAGTTTATGAGTGAGTGGCCTATGGATGGACCATAAACTATGGATCATTATTCAAGAAGGTTGGATTAGTGTCCAACATCTGATATGATTAATTAAACATAAAGAATTATGATTGATTATTATTCGATACAAATCTTAAATACCATGATTTAAACACGAGGTAAAACAATTCAATTGCCACCCCTAACCATAAAATGTCGCTAGCCCCCAACAAAAAAAAAATATTTTTTAAAATAAATTATTGACACCGCGCTTAACTTGGGCCTAAGTTCGCAAAACTCGGCCTGTTAAGTGAAAGATTGTTCTGTCCTTTAGCCATACTAACAGATACTATACAAAACATTGAACTCCTTGAATTCATTTTTCTATATTGAATTAACAGATACTCATATGTTGTAGATATTGGAGACTCTAAAATTCTATTTATGATTAAAAAAAAGCTAAATTTAAATCATATGTATCTTTTTTTTTATTTTTACAAACAGTGAAATGATGTGAACCAATGACATTTTGGATGTGGTGACATGTAAATAACTTATACATTTGAATTTGTGTGGAACAAAGGTGCATCACCGTCTTTGTTTGACGAAATCTCTTCGTTTGAGTTCTTTATTTTTTATTTTACCTTATTTCTTGTTTGAGCCAGACCTTTTCTTCATCGTGCACGCCAACAAAGAGTTTGGAAAGACTCAAGGATGTTCTTGTCAGAGTTGAGATTTACTTAAAGATGTCATTAATAGAGACATCTAAGCCTAATGTTGGTTCAATTTTCACGCTGCCGACATCACTTTTGATAATATATAGTTCAAATTAGTCTAAATCATACAAACAGAACTTAATTTATTCAAAGCCTCTTATACAAAAATAGAAGGATTGACTCATACCACCTACCCCTTAAAAAATTTAGATGGCCAAGAAACAATCAAAATTTGATATTGTATTAGTATATTGCCTGTTGGCTTTAGTCTAAAGTTTAACAGTTGAAGATTGGAATATATACCTTTTTCTATGTTCATAACTACCCCCTTCACCCCTTAAAAATGTTATATTTTTTTAATGGCCCCTCAAATCTTGATATTTTATGTCTACCGAGATATGTTTTTTATTTTATTTTATTCGAACACAGTACTGTCGTTGGGGCAGACAACCTAGTCTGGAATTTAATAATATGATTGTTATCCTACTTAACATTTTTAACAAGTAATTCAAAGTAATAAAATAATTTAAAGGGTTAATAATATTTTTAGTTCTTAAAATATGCTTATTTTGTCAGTTTGGTCTTCAATGTATCAATTTTATTAATTTGATTCCTATAATATTTAATTCGTATTTAAATGATCTCTATATAAACGGCACGTTAATTTTTTGACAGAAATAACCACGTGATACAATCTGAAAAGGATGACATGTGATAATTTTCGTCAAAAAATTAAGGACCATTTAAGCACAAATTGAAAATTCGAGGGACAAAATTGACAAATTGATATATTGAAAATCAAATTGACAAAACGAACATACTTTAAGGATAAAAAATACAGTAATGCTACACTGACCAAATTTTTAGAACAAATTAAGAGCTTAAATGACATGACAACTAATTATTTGGAGTCTTTATTGGAGCTTAAATGACATGACACAAAATAAAGAAGTCAAAGTCAGCTTCCATGTTATTTGAGCTCTTGATTTGGTCAATATAACATTATTGTAAAAACTAATATTAACCCTAATTTAGAACCTCTTAATTTTGTTCTTTTTTGTTTAGTTTTAGAGTGCAGATGAAGAAATGACATAGGAAAATAAAGAATATCAATACCGCATTTACTTCAAAGCAATCTATTTGGAGCAATACTATAAAAACTTAATTTACTGAAATAATTTGTTGACTTAATTCA